GCCTGGCTGTGCCGCGCACCACAGCCAGCTCCCAGCTCCAAGGGCCAGAGCCACGGCCCTTAAAAATCGGTCGGGCCACGTCACGCCAGCATCCTGGCGTCTACCGGCGTCCCACCCTCTGGCTCGCGCCCCACCTTCTCATGCTGGAGCAGCACGCAGGCAGCCCGGTGGCAAGAATCGCCGCACTTCCCCCTCCCAGCAGCGCTCCACTCCTCCGCCAGCCGGCAGATCAGATGGGGCTGCGCCACCCATAGTGCAGGCTTCGGCCAGCCCATCACAATGGTCCACCGGGCCAGTCTGCCCCTGCACTCACCAGCTGGTAAAATCTACTCGCCACGGGCGAGCACGCGCAAGTGTATTTGTCAAGCCCTGACAATCAGCACTGGTATCTGCAGTCTGTTACTGTTCAATTTGCTGCACATAGCCCTCTCTTACTCCAGTTACTAGAGCAGGGATGGCCAACCTGTGGCTCTGGAGCCACTTGTGGCTCTTCTGAAGTTATTATGCGGCTCCTTGCTCAGGAACAGACTCCAAGGCTACATGTGACAAATTTCCAGTGCTCAACTCCTGGCTCCACCTCCTCCTAAAAGCATATTGTGCCCTTGCTCCTTTCCTCCCCCACATAGCTTCCTGAGTGCTATGAAACAGCTGATTGCGGTTGGCAGGAAGCATGGGGAAGAAAAAGGAGGCACTGATTGATAGGGCTACTGGTGGGCAAAAGATGCTAGAGATGTAGAGGAGACTCCTGATGGGGACTGCTGACAAATTACTGTAGCTCTTTGGCAAGGTACATTAGTAAACTGTGGTTCCTTCTCAGGCGGCCACACCTGTACTAGACACATCCCTTGTCCTACTCCTATATCAAATACATCACTGTTGAATCCCTCTACTCCCCAATCATCCCCAAAACCTGGTAATTCCTAGTTATTGCAACTGCATCCCACTCTCACCAACCCTTTTATCAAGCTCTAAATGTTCAGACATATCCAATTTTAAATCTTCAATTATAGAAATTCCAGAACGTCATATCCTGCAAGTTTACATGGTACCTCCTCCATTTAAAGTAAAAAAGTTATGGTTAAGCACTGGAATAAATTGCTGAGGGAGGTTGTGGAATCTCTAACACTGGAGATATTTAAGAGCAGGTTAGACAGTCACCTGTCAGGGATGCTAGATGGTGGTAGGTCCTGCCGTGAGGGCATGGGCCTGGACTCAATGACATCTTGAGGCCCCTTCCAGTTCTAGTGATCTATGCTATTCCATATCCCAGATAAAAATTTGCAGCTGATTTAAAGAACTACACTTGCCAGTTTGCAGCTACTTTGCACTGTTCCAGTTGTGCAACGACACAGCATAACAGTAAATCTGGCTCAGTGCTTTTAAAATAAAAATCAGTATTTTTCATATCTTCCACTCACTGGAGCTATCACATGGCAGCCATCTTTAGGACTTTTGTTTGTATGATACTTTTAATACATTTAATAACCAGGAAAACTTCTAGACAAAATCTATTAAACTGGTGCTAATGTCGAGAGTATATATGAATAGTTTAAAGAGAAAAAAACTCCAAAAATGTAATTATCCTAGAAATAAGTATTACCAGTCCCTGAGTAATACGGAGTCAGAGTTTGGATACACTTTAAGTTTGACCATAGGTTAAACAATTCTGCCCTGCAGAAACACTGTGCAAAAACCACATGATTATGCTTAGAGCATTTTAGCATTTGTAGTCCCAGAGTAAATTAAACTGACATTTAAAGGTTCTCTCCTATGGCATCACTGCAAAACAGTTGAGATTCTTTGGTGCCTTAACTGCCCATCTTCAGGCCTTCACATATTTGGATTTCTTTTAAATTTAACCCTAACTCTGCATTTCTGTACCTAATAATCTTTGATTATAAAATTGTTGAGATTGATATGGTAAAATGTATGCAACCACAACCTTACTTCACCTAATCAGATTTTATGTTGTTGTCTGACGGACATAAATAATCAATGCCTCTTAGGAAATCTGTTACTGTACTGTTTAGTCTGTTTAGTATGTGAGATCCTCAGCAGGGCTGGGACTTCCCACCCACAGGAAGCTGGGAGTTCTTTGCAGAATTATGGAGCCATTCAGGCTAGCGGAAAACACCTTAAGCCTCCATCTACATGTTTTGTTAGCCTTTAAAGTGCTACCAGACTATTTGTTGTTTTTTAAGTTTATTCTGTACAGACTAACTCAGCTACCCCCTGAAGATTTTGCATTTACAAAGTATTTGTGGATTCAAAAACACAGCTAATAGAAAAAAACTGCACAACTGGCCTTTATCCAAGCGCAGGCTCCATCAGTTAGGCTCAGTGAACACCACGTGCCCAGGAGCGAGTCTTGATCCTCTGAGGACTTTCCTTTGCAGAAGGCCAATGTTTACACTATACTGGAAGAGATCCAGAAAATCTCAGATAAGAACCAGAAAGAAACTTCTGCTCTTAATTCCAAGTTAATGGGACTAGTTTCATGACTGCTAATTACTTGTATTTATGCAAACTAAGAAATATAACCAAATGTCATGCTTCGAAGCATGACTGATCAATAATATAGTGGTCAAAACAATTTTCATCTGGGCCAAGTAGTAGGAAAACTTGGTAGATGTATAAAGAACATATTTCACCTTCCTCTGAAGGATCACTTATTGAAGAATTCAGAAGGCAAAATGCCAGACTATCCAAACGGACACAGCAAAGCCTACGTAAAAAGTCAAACCTATTACTGAACAAGCTAAATGTTATCCAAGTGGAGGACACAAGACCCAGATGAGTTGGATGAAAGGCAAAGATCCAAAAATGCTAATACAACTGTATAAATTGCAACAAAAATTGGGAGGAAAAACTGACATGCTCAAAAAAGCCAATACATTTAACAACCCCACCAATCACTAGTTATCAACACAAATTTGAAGCTCAAATTATTGCTGTCTATGGAAAATGACTGCCAAGAACATTATTCTCAAGTACCAGAAGGCCCTCAACACTAACGAGCCAAACCACTTGACAGAAACTAAATGAAGGACTTTGGCAATATAAGTGTCCCCAACAGAAAACAGATCAAATTCTCACCTCATGGCACAATAAGACAGAGCACAAAGGAAACTAGGGGGCTGTGCCCCCTGCTCGCTATGCTTGCCAACCCCCCTCTTTCTGGGGGTAGTAGCCCTGGCTCTCCCCATGGCCACTCAGGAGGGCTGGGACAATGCAGCCTGGATCTCCCCACCCCCGGCAGCCCCTCCTTTACCCCCTGCCAGGTTGGGGAGGGCCGGGCAGAGGCTGGGGCGGCCCCGCCTCTCATCCTGGCTACAGAAAGCCTGCAGGCGGCTTCCCGGCTGAGAGAGCTCTGGCTGGCCCACAGGCAGGAAGGAGGCAGCTCCTGTGAACCAGGCCGTCTGCTGGATTGGGGACAAGGCTTGGTGTGGGGCATTGCTGACCACAGGGCTGGGGGGGCAGGTCAATTTTGGCTGAAGGAAGGGGAAGGGAAATGGGAGCGTGCAGAACTGGCAAGCTGGATCCAGCAGAGAGGCTTGGGGCTTTGCCCTCCTCTCACCCCACAGGAAGCAGGCAGGGGAGCTCCAATCTTACGGGGGGCTGAGCTGGTGAGCGAGAGGTCTGGGTGTAGGCACAGAAGCAAGGAAGACACCAGCAGGGCAAGCAGGGGGCTCACCGTGTCCTGCCGCTGTGGACCATGCTGCCTGCAAGGCTCCTTTCACTTCAACTCTGCAAACCCCCAGCCCCAGCCTATTGATGCTAATTTTTATATAAAAAATATGAGAGAGAGAGAGAAAGAAAATGAAT